GGAGAGAGGGAAGGAGAGGGGTGACGGTGCATAACAGAGCAAAGCATGGTAATCTAGTAGCTTGGTCCCAAAATAAACTGTAATAAGTTGCAATGCTAGGCATAGCTCTACTGGACTTGAGCTACAGTCATTCCAGGCAGGGAATCTGTGGGGTTACATACAAAAAGGCCTCAGGATTGGGTGTTTTATTAAGGGTCCTCTGGCCCTGGTAAATTTCTATACTCAGTTTATGATTCAATTATAAAAAAATCACAAAGTCTGAGAGTGGGTTACAAAAATCTTGGTGTGAAAATAATTTGTTTTTTACCTACCCTATGAAATATGTATATAAACACATCAGTTCGTTTTAGACCTTAGAACTTCAATGTAATTAAAAATGGACTAATTCAGAAGTAATAGGTCTGAAATGCCCATTTGCTTTTCTTGATAAAAGGAGAAAAAAAAATAGATGGGATAGCTAGCAACCACTGGCTCCTCTATGATATTTCATAAAGGTTTTTCTGTGCCAGTCAAACTCAATACACTTTCTGTACATATAAAACTGCCTAAATATTTCTTGCAGTCGATTCACTTCTATCTTTAGCAAGATGTGTAAAATATTTAAAAATTACCTTCTCTACTTTGCTAGATAATAGCTCAGGTTATATAACCTACCATAAAAGATTTTTCATAAAAGAAGGAAAAAACAAGGAACTTTAAATACAAAACAATCTATATTTAAAGACCCATCAAGGTTGTGTCAGAAGTGACAAAAGACAGGAAAATAGAATGACACTGACATTCTGATCTCAATTCACATCATTTTAAAATAGCAAGTTATGGCGCAGTTTCTGCTTAAACTTTTGAGATTTACGGATCTTGCCAGAATGCTGCAAAACTGGGCCATGACCTTAAAAAAAAAAGTGCACCTGCTTTACCTTATGCACAATGATTACTCTATTAACTTAAGTATATACAAATACACATCTTGTTAAAACTTAGCAAAGCAAACTGCCTTGCTTCTAGCCACACAAACTCACGGAAGACAATGGGCAAGCAAGAGTGAATAGCGCTGTGCGGACACAGTTTGGATGAGCATCGCTGGTGAATCACCGACCAAAGGAAGAAGAGGGGCTGCTTTGACTAAAAAGCTGTGTGCTTTGCCTTTTAAGGTGTTGAATACATTCCAGTTTGGAGCTCTGCATGTCAAATTAATGCAGGCCTACAAGGAAGAAAAAACCCTGTTGCTAATTTCGGAATTTAATTTCATCAGATATAGTGTTTATTTTGTAACAAGACTAGTCCTCCTCCAGGCTTAGGATTTGATCCTAAAATTAGAGGCCGAGTCTGCCCAGCACATTTGGAGAGGCACTTATAACTCTGCAGAACTGCAGAACTGTTCTGTTCTTACACTGCTCAACAAAGCTTGCATGCATGCAGGTGACAGGCATTTAAGCATTTGCAGATTTGGCAGCTGTATTTCTGTATGTCAAGACTTGGTCCTGGCATATGATGAACATCCTTTTTTCAGAGGAGTTGAAGGTACTCCACTCCCCGACAAAGGACGCTCACAACCACTGTTTTTAAAAGCATTTTTGATTCTGGAAGATTCAGACACATGATAAGTGGTATTATCGGAATTATCGGAATAGGTGCTTTATGTCCAGATCTTCAGATGTTATTTAGAGGCCTAAATCCTACTGGAATACTGATTCTGAAAATGTGAAAATTCCAGTGGAAATGAAACCTGCAAGTAGGATGAAGGCTCACTATTGCAATGCCTAATGGTGCTTAACTTCTAGACCTTTTTTTAGTCACAGAAAGACAAAAGGTGAGAAGGCCACATTTTGGTACATTTCCCAGTGACTATCTTTTATTTGCTTAGGCAGAAAGGGCTTCAATGGGAGAAATTCAGAATCTCTTGCCACAAAACACTCTAGATTGTAGTGGTTATAGCCCTTACCATGTAGGTAGCAGATTTTGGTTTCCCTATAAACCGTATTTCAAACCAAAGAGAAGAGGATATCTGTCCTGGGCCACCTGCATCTCTGAACCCTAGGCAATGACAGAAGCTGGATGCCATGACCACCTCCGTCAGTACCACCATTACCCTGTTTAGAGTCCGGAGCTCCTGGTACTGACCCGGTCCTTGCAGGTCAAGTAAGGAAGAGGAAACCTTGAGGGAACGTCCCATTAAAGCTTCAAAGGGCTTAGCAGTTGCCGGCATTAGCCAGAGAAAGGTAGGTGGTAAGGAAATTTTACTACTAAAATATAAATATTTATAATTTATCTACCATTATTAGGGCACTGTTGCTGAGTGAAAGTCTTGAGATCATAAATTTGGAACGCAGGCATCATAAATGACTAAATGATTAAAACCACATCTAGATTATATTTTAAATGCAGGTTTAAACTGCAACTCATCAGGCATAAAAACTGCTTGATGGCATATCTCATCCTCAGAGGCACAGAAAGGAAGAAAGTCTGAGCCTTTCCTTTGCAGGTGTGCCAACACAAGGCACTGTCTGCAACGGGGTATGGCAGAAAATTTGTTATGGGGTCTTTTTAGGACACGGCACCAGGAGGTGCAAATTTTATTACTGGCATTTAGGCTTTCAAAGTTTTAGGTGCCCAAGTGGCAGCAACGTAGACATGCTAAGTGCAGGGCTCGGGACACAGATGGCCCTGCAAAGCCACTGCAGCCAAAGCCTGACTGCCTGTAGGACTGGTCGTATCTGTTCTTTTACATGGCTAATTTCCAAATACTTTTATTGCACCTTCCAATATCTGGCCCTTGGGACTGAGCAGTCCTTCTCTCTTTTGAAGCTGATAGAAAACGTCCTGTTGTATGTCAATGCATCTTTAGAACATATTGTTTAAAGGTCAAATCTTTAAGCCTTACTCTTGTGCGTAGCTGAGAATAACATCCGTTCAGTGGAACCACTTCCAAGAGAGAAGATTTCGTCCCATAAGTAAAGCTAGTAGGAACAAGCCTTAAATTATAGTGCATTCAGTAACTATAAACATTATACATCTCAACCTGCCAAAGCCGTATTGTGGGACACCATGTAACTGGGCACAGAAGAAAAATAACAGAGCAGGAAGCTTTAAATGATGTGGGATTGCTTTCTCTGACATCAGTAAGTATTTGTTTTATAGCCTCAGTTTCAGTGGCTTTGCATTTCAGATGTAAATAATTTAAAATAATACAGGATACAAGGTCTAAAGCGAGGCCCATCTCTGGCAATGCAGACTGCAGCGAGGTAAGGCAATTGATGAGCTAACACGATTTTTGCGGGAGAAATCTGTCTGGCTTTCTGCAGCGTGGAGGAGCCTCCCAACCAACGTGGTAAAAGATTCTGAAGTATTGCTAATTTATCAGGCAAAATACGACGGGGTATTTTTTTGCTAAGACGCGGCAGGTCGACTGGTTCCCTTCCGAACGCAACCTGCTAATCAACACCAACAAAAAAAGGCTCAAAAGCAGGCGAAAGCCCGTCCGCGGCCGATGACGGAAGAGGCAGTTTAACGCCGGATCCCTCCACGGGACGGGAACGAGGCCGCTCGGC